GAGGCCAGGCTGAAAAAGAAAACGTACAAAGAGCGAGGCAGAAAGAAGGAATAACTGCTGTCACAGACACTACTGCTTCACCCAAATCAACAACCTTACAACACCTACAAACCACTGCTTCACAGTAAGGGCCTCTATTTAGCCTAACTGTGGAAATACAGAAACTTGAGAAATGGACAGATTTACATAATCCTGGGTCTGATTCTGATATTCTTACAGAAAGTGACAAATTTGAATCACTACCATGAACAATGACAACCAATTTGGATGCAGTGGGATTCCGTGCAGTGGCAGAAAAGCACGTAATATATATTGAACAGTAGTATCTGAGAAAGAACACAACCATAGATTGCTCAAGTCCAATCTGTCCCAGTATTCTTAAACATTGCTCAGTTGTTGTTGAATTTGAATTACTCGAAAGCCAAGATTTTCAAATGTCTTAGCACTGGCCTTTCAGACAATGGTTACTGCAGTGTTTAAACTACAGTAAAACAATCATCAGTGAGATCAATCTATGGACAGTCAAAAGTCACATTCACAATAATTCAATAATAATATAATGCGGATTAATTCCACATCGACTTGCTATACAATATAATCAATTTCTTATTATTACATGTTTAGGTCTTTATGTGGAATTTTACTGCTATTACTATTCATTGCTTAAACTGAGTGGAACTTGGGTTGGTTAAAAACAAGATTTACTGACTTTTTCAGTGAATAATGAACTTAGAAAATAAAATGCAAATCAAGCAGAAGAATGTTCTTGTAAAGAGCAGCACAGGAACTGCAAAGAGAACAAGCAACTGGTCCCTGGGGTATCTAAATAAAAGTTTCCCAGGAAACAGTAAAATACCATTCAAGTTGTGTGTAGTGTGTGGAACAAGCTGTTGGCTCAGTGTTTTACAGTTTTCTTCAGGCTGAATGGTTCTGGGAAGAGTTCCAGAGTCTGTGATTTACACACCGCAAAGCAGGAACAACCCTGTCTATTTGAAACTTTGCTGAAAAAAAATCTCAGCATTAATTTTAAAAAGTGCCTTGCATGCTAATAACACAGGTTAACAGTGGGTTTAGTTTTAGAATTAAGAACTGATTTCATTCTGAAAGCTTATAATATACCCATTTTTAAAGGTTTTTAATTTAAGCAAAATCTTGGTTTTCAGGATTGTAAACAGGATAAACAAAACAGCTTAGTAGTTCATTTCTGTTCTTTGCTGATGAACTGTACTGCACAGAAAAAGCAACAGAAAACCAAAACAGACCTTCTGGATCCAGAGAAACCAAACGAAGTGTTAACAGAGAAATAGTATCTTGTTGGACAAGAAAAACCATTGTTGGAAAAACAATTAGTAAATCATATACTGCAGCACAGAAAACAATATATTGAATCTGCAGGATGTCTATATGATATTGGTGGTAAAAGCATTGATCTGGTGAGCTGCACTGATTTTACAATAGAGTCAATAGAGTGCCTGTGATCTAAATCCTGTGTCTCTCCCATCCCATGATCTGGGGATGTTTAATTCTAAGGCACGCTATGGAAAAGGCTCTGTCCAAACCTTGAAAAATAGCAAGAATTTCAGAAATAAATAGAAAACACTGAGTCATAAACACATACCATCTGTTACCAGTTCAAAAGTCCCAGTCTTTAGCACTACTGAAAGAACACCAACAACAACAACAACAATAATAAAAATAAATACAATAATACAATCATTACACTTGTATTTTTATAGTGCTTTTCATCCTGAAAAAACATGAAAAACTCCTATAATAATAAATATGCATGTAAGCATGTTATATATATGTGAAGACCACTTGACCCACCTCTACAGTGTGACACCTACCTGTTTGATGTCTGGTAGCCATTCAGTCCTCTATACAGCAGATCAGGTGGAGAAATGATAAAGCACTATATTGAGGGGGAACTTAATAAGGATAGATCATACAAATGCGCAGTAGAATTTTACCATTTCATCAGAGTTAACACCTTTACTCTTTTAACAATTAACTTAATCAATTTCCCTACGGGATTAATAAAGTATTATCTATCTAACAGTGTCATGGGATGTTAAATGACCAGATAATGTGGAGTTCAGTTTAACATTTCATCTTCTATAGCATAGTCCCCAGTCACCAGACTGTGGAATAGGTTTAGAAACATTTGTTCTACAGGGAAAAGTCACCTCTCTCTGATGACAGTTCTGTGGTTTTTCTGGGATAGATAGTTATTGATGATCAGTGAAAAACATAACTATGGCTGGGGCAAATATTTCCAGGTAGTTTAAAGGGAGTTGTGCATTCTGCCTAATCCTGAAAGTGCAACATCTACCTCTGAACATCATTTAATACATTTAAATCATACTTTTCTCCCTAAGTGATATACAAATATTTGAAATAATATGAGATGCATATCATTCACTCCTGAATTCCACAGCCGTCCAATGGAAGCTCTAGAAAGGCTTTTGAAGGACAACACTACCACCTAGTGTTAACATGCATCTGTTGAGAACAGGATAGATTCACAGCTAAAAAGTACAAATATAATTATTTAAGGCAAAACTTCTTTGAAGATAACAGATGGCAACACTTTCCTAAGAAACAATTTATTATCAATTCATCAGCAATTTCATGCATGGAATGAATCATGAATATGGAATCATTTATTTACAAAATAACCAAGAAACATTTTTAAATGGTATTTCAATAATCCTAGCACACTGCTGTGTAAATTGTTTTAATATAGTTTATTGCTTCTATAAATACAACAACCTAACATAAAGACACCGATATGTGTCTGGCTGAATTACACAGTAAGCACAATCAATAACGAAGTAAAATAAATCTTTGAAAGAACTACAATATCTTCATAAACTGCTTTTCAAAACATAACAGGCACAAGTTTCATAAACAGGATTTTAATAACAAGCAAATCATAAGATGTTTCAGAAAACAAATTCAAGCTTATTTGTATTAAAAAACTAAATATTCTATACTTCATATTATTGGTCTCATAATTTTGAAAACATTCCAGATAATTGCTCCGAGATTCTTACTTCACAATATGGAAGTGTGCTTTTCCACTTGTGTTTACACTTCTCCTTAGGTTTGCCATCACTGCTACATTGTGGCTTGTGTGGAAAAGGACACTCTTCACCTACCCACAAACAGACACTCTGTCAGACATACGAACAGTGCATACAGAGAGCACAGAGCTCGAGCTTTCCAAACAGCTGTGGTCTTCAGCTCCAGGACCTCAAAACCTTAGATATTTCCAGTTTTTGCATCCATTTTAAATTAGTGGCTGAAGATTATATCTTGATTAACTGAGTTAATTAAATAGTCAACAGCACAGCAGGGATGTAAACTCAGAGACCTCTGTAGCTCTGAACTACAGCTGCAGAGCCCAGCTGTTTGGGGTTTTCTGATTTCTCTAATTGATGTGTGAGAACTTACAAATGTACAAATCCAATACTCCATTACTATCCCCTTCTTCTATGTAGGGTTACACTGAAACGAATTAGGGCTTATAAAGATGACTGCATTGGAGTTTTCTGAATCATGACATAACTGCTACAGTACAATTTCTCCTCAAGGTCACCAAACCAGTGACATTCAAATACTGAACCATTATTCACATACAGTTCGAAGACCTTTCTACATATGTGTGATTCTGAACTTTACGAATGTAAGTAAGGTATAGTGGGAATACCCAGAAGAGAGAGGTTTTGTCACCAAGCCTATTACCTGTACTACCCAACACGAAGTGATAAAAATCACTGAAAAAAGAGAATGTTAAAAAATATAAAAATGTTCCTTCTTTGCTTAATTTTATCAGACTACTTCTCAGTGTATTCAATAGCTATATGAGCTGCAAAGGACTGGGGATTGTGCTTTCAGATCTCTGGACTCTAGCAAATTTGATGTACTCTAGCAGTGAAGGCACTGAACATTTAAAACATAATTGGGGTAATAGAAAAAGGAAAGAAACCCAATAATACAGCAAGATCAAAAAATGAAAAATGAAGTAAACAAATTCAGAAGAATAATGACTTAGGCTCTTGAAGTTCAGTTCTTTACCACAATCTCCCTCTGAACAACCCTGCAGCTCACTGCTTGTGTGTAGGGCAGAATGAACTGTGGCCCTCTCGCAATGACTTTGGGACTGTGAGGAGATTGGACAGTGCCCATATCCATATCACTAAACCAGTCTGAAAAAACAAATCAAAGGTTGTTATGCCCTTGCAATCAATTTACTAATTCATGGCCACATTAAAATGAGCACCCCCTACCAAGGAAATGGAACAAGCTGAGTAAGCACTTATATTCATGTATTCTTTTCAATTTTGAGTGAGCGATTGGATGCATCTTGGCCCTGTGGGAGTCATACTGTCTGAAGTCTGATTGGAATGCATTTTATCTCACATCTTGTGGGAAAATGAAGAGCTTTTCCTTTTACTGTACCTCAGCTCAACTGAGTACATTTTTTTATTGTACTACTAATGTGCATGCTATTTTACAAATATCCAATTAAACCAGAAAACCAAAATGTATTATGATTTTGGTTAACTAATTATATACCGTTTGTGACAATATACTCTATAATTTAATCACAAATTTCTTAACAGGAAACACTTATACTGAGCTGTTCAAAGCTACTTGCAAATGCTTAGCACACTGAATTGCTTGAATGGCTATATGGTAAAAGGAGCTGATAAACATCCATCTACTCATTTTCTAAATGTTTGATCTAATTCAGGTTGCAGGAGAGCCAGGAAGCAACAGCCACAAGGTGGGATACACCCTGGCCAGAACACCAGTCCATCGCAGGGCACACATAGTTTTCCCAGAAACCAATTAACCAACAGCAGCAGTACATCTTTAGACAGTGGGAAGAAACCAGATCACCAAACAAAAAAAACCACGTGAACATGGGGGAGAACATACACACGATACGCACATAACACCCCAGGTCCAGAACTGAAATCAGAACTGTTTCAGTTCTGAGAGGCAGCAATGCTAACTACTGTGCCATGGTGCCACTCCTAATTAATTATTTTTTTTTAAATTTAAACCTTATAAAACATGTTCTCTCAGAATGGCTTCAACAAAATGTTAGTTTTATGTTTTTTTCTGTTCTGTATTAATTGCAGGGACATATAAAGACATCGCAACAAATAGTTAGAGCATTGTTTATCATATTAACAAACATCCCAAGATAACAGCATTATACAAGTCACAAAGCCAAAGTTTCTCCATAGATAAAATGTTAATATATCCATCGGTCACTAAATGAAACATTTAATGGAAGAAAACAAATGTATTTCTTGATATGCAAAAAGGACCCTGCAGAATGGATTTTTATGAAAATGGTAACCCTGCCCTCAGCATCGGCCCCATACAGAGAGAGTGGGACATGTGGCTGCTCAGACCTGGTCATGGCCAAGGTTTTCCTTTGGAGACGGCACAGTGCATACATTAATTTATCTGGTTCTATACACCCCAATTTAATTGGAATGCTTCTGCACACTAATCAGAGACACACAAGAGCTATGTGCTATTAGTTTAACCCTTAAGAGTATAACAAATACAGGTGTAGTTACACTGATTCTGCAGAACGCACATAGAAAAGCATTTAATTGAACCACCTGCCTAAAATTAAATTTTACCAGGAGCATACATTTTTTGCTTTATTCTGTACAATTCAAATCTAAACAGAGTTTTCAAGTATTTACAACAAATCTTCAAGGCCAACAGTTTACTATTTAAAAGGTAGAAGTAGGAGAGGAGAGTGGTTCTGCAGGGAGGGTTCAGTGTCAATGAGCTGACTGATCTTTGCTGATTTTTATAGAGCAAGTTTTAAAATCTGAAATATATATCTAAAAATGATATAAAGAATGATTCCAAATCCAATATTTCACTGATAACATTGTGAATTTTGACAAGGAACTACACTCCACACTACCAATTCACCCCAAGTCTGCACTCCAGATGTCAGGTCCCAGCAGAACTTTTCTTGACTTATAGTTTCTTTTTGCTGGAAAGGAGTTCCTTTACAACACATTAAATTTAGTATTTGACAAAGCTTTTTTAAGAACCTCTATTATAGGTTTACTTAAAGAGAATACAACTTCTTTGGTTACCTGTTAATTAAGAAAAACTCTTAACTGTTTGTTCATTTAGAGCTTGTAAGACAGGGGTAGACAATGCACAGGTGCATGTGCAAGGTGGACATAAGAATAGCTGTACTAAGTCCAACACTCCAATGCTTAATTGGACAATTGGACAAGTCAGCCATGACTATTGTAAAGTAGATCAACGTGTCCTTTTCAACACGTGTCCTAAACTCTGACAAACTCCTCTGATGTTTGTATTAATGCACATGGTTCTGTTCATATAACGCTTCCTTCAATCAACTAGAAAGAAACAAGAGAAGAAGAAGTGCTGTGCACCTGGATGGAAAGGGGTAGGGGCTGCAGCGTGTGGATCATGGGAGTGATCCACATGCTGGGAACCTGTTGGTGACGTCAGACCAGATGCCTCCCTATTGCCAGTCCTCTAATTTCATCCCTCCTTCTCCACCTCAAGGGAGGGGTCTGACAGCTCGGCCATGAGATCTTCCCCTGCCCCTCCAGCCCGTGAGGCCCACAGCAAAGCCCCCTCCTGCAGGCCCAGAGCCCTTAGCACCCTGGCGTAGTCAGTGTACACAGTGCCAATCAGTTTATGTGGAGATATGTTAAGGAAAGAAATCAGGGGTGAGAAAATAAGACAAATTAAAAAGAAAATTGAAGAATAATAGAAAATCCTATTCATCGATTAATGAACACATTCCTAGACAGCTATGCAAACAGCATCTGCAGAGGTGAAGGGCATTCTTTAACAATGCTTCCTGTGCACTATGATCTTTTCCTCAGAGATCTAGAATGGATGTACAGTACAGCGATAGCTCCTAAGGGAAATGGAGCAGAGCGTGCAGCAGTCAGCAATCTTGCACACAGCCTGCCCATAGGTGAGCACAAAGAGCTGCTTTTGTAATGGGCTTTCCACAGTAAGGGCAAAACCAATACATTATCAAAACTGTGGTGTTACCCAAGACAGAGGAAGAAGGGCCTTCTGACGTGAGAGACAAGATTTCCTTTCTGCACGGTACAAAAAATCTATTATTTTTATTCCCATTCATCTACTTTAAGCTGTGCTTAAGTATTATTAAAAAAAGGATATTTGTGTTTTCATTGACTTCCATTACGCCATACTTCAGACAAGCTTCAATAAAGAGTGCAGCTCTGTCAAAGTACCTCATGCTACAAGACACAAGAAAAGCAAAATATTATCCATTAACCTCTCGATCAGTGTGAATGAAACATCTCATTTAGCTACAATTCTCCTCCTGGTTATTTACTAAAATTGTATTTCCATTTCTTCTGTAAATCCATTCAAACAAATGTACTGCTTGATCAGAATGACACTGCTATAGGAATGTTTCAAAAAAACAAAATAATTTTAACATTTATGAATCAGTTTTTAGTTTTGGTTCTCACAATAATAAGTTGCTTCAGACAAATTGTGATCACTGAACACAAAAATGTAAAGGCTGTTAAACACAAACATTAACACAGACAAGTGAAAAACTGATTATTAGTAAAAACAAATTACTGATTTCTTCTGCCCAAAAGTTGTAAGTCAGTCTAAAATTCATCTACAAATTTAATAACACAATTCATAGGTAAAAATAATGCTATGGCAAACGCAGAATGAGAAACACTGGGATAGGTGAAATCCACCCTCCACTGATGATTTACTGTACCATGGAGCGAGACTGTGCTGTGTTTACAAACAATAAAAGGTCAGACATTACCTCTGTAACATCTCAGCCACCTTCTGGAAGCAGCCCAGAGACAGGAGCACCAGGACAGCCTTGGACTTCTGGTTGATTTGTGGAGAGCACAGGTAATCCACCCAGCGTTTCAGAACCTCAGAACACTCAGTGAAATTCAGGCGTACCTGAAATAGTATTGCATAAGTCCAGGAAAGGTTTACCTTTGCAAATAAGACCCCATTATTGTCAATGCTTTTACCTGGGACTAAACAGTCCACCACGCAACTACATCAATGTGTGCTATAATTCCTCTGGAAGCAAAGATAATATGAAAATACACTCTTAGCAACTAATATTACAAACATATACCCTGTTTTATTGTTTGTATATCAAAATATTAAATTAACTGAAGACATAATCATTAGTCTAGTGTCTAGATTTGACAAAATACGGTCATTCGGTTTTTCAAAAGTCTTTGCAATGCCCTAGATAAGGGGTAGTCAAGCTAGGCACCTGAACTCCACTTTTTTTTAATTTCTTAATTAACACGGGTGCTGCATATATTATGAATAATTCAGCAAAGATTTACAATGGTCTAGGTTTCTGGAGCAAAGATTGTAATAGAGCTAATACATTTAAAAGTATACCATAATCACAGGTTTATTATACATTGCATTATGTTCCAACCAGAGCTGCACCACAGTTATACACCAAATTAGACATTCAGGGAAATAACAGCCCAAATGAATGATGTCCTGTTTTTTAAACATTTCAAGAGGGAAAGGTATAAAACATATACAGGTATCCATAGCACTGATGTCATAAGTACAGCCTGCAGATCATTGTATACAGACCCATTTCTCTATCTGACACTGACAGCAAAACCTCAGCTGCAGTGCCAACCTCTTAATCAAAAATCAAAATTATGATGTCAATGCAGTTTTATGTCATATGGGGCCAGATTATGAAAAAGTCTAAGGTTGTGGACACCTCTTCTTTACAGATAAATTTGATACACACCTTTGCCAGCCACGCTGCACGATTCCATTCACCATACGTCTGCAGATAGCGACAGGCATCAGCTGCTTTATCTATCAGACACAGCAGCTGCACTCCCTCTAGAAAAGAGAGAAGAAACATTGAATTACCAACAAATCAAGCATCAGTGAGGGGAATTTATTTTCTGTCATGAACTTCTCTGCCATTTGCTAGACCTTAATTTACAAGTCAATGCTTTAAATCGAGAAAGAAAGAAAAAAAAACTTTACTTCTCCATTCATTGTACAGGTACCTTGGGAAAACCATTTCTCAATTTTTTAAATGAAATGTCAGCAATATGAATAGTTTTATAATAACACTGCATACTTAATACAGTTCAAGTTATTTCAACACATTGCTTTGGGGTTAACTGCAAAAACTAACCTGAAATGTATGTGATTGCCAAAGCACTGAACCTGTCTTGAGTTCAGTTGTTCAAAACAAAGCCCCTACAGGAAGGCATAAGATCATTATAATCTATAAAGTAAACTAGTTTACTTTGATTTAGAAAATGTGGAGTTCATTTTGTAACTTCAAAATAATAAATTGCTGTGCAGTTCAAGAAAATGTGAAAAATGACTGCAAATATTTCATCCATTCAAAGCATTTTTCATGTGATCTTGAAAAACAAAACTTCTTTTACAGTAGTTCTGTTTATGGTAAATATACATTTACACTACGAACAGTGCTAAGTAAAAGAGAATTCACATTACTATAAAAGCACAGGAAAAAAAACATCATATAACAAAGATTTATGGATAGAAAAAAATGTTATACTGTAATCTTGAAAGCATTGCAAAGAGCAAAGTCATGTTTACATGTATTATGTTAGTCCAGAAAATAATAATGAATTTACAATCCTTCTGTATTTTGTAACTCACAATGTCTAGTATGGATTACACTGAAAAGGCACTTGTATCTAGGAGTTCTGAGGGGGGTGTTTTACCATTGCTCTAGGCAGAATATTTTTAGGGCCTTCAGACCATGTGGTTTCAGATTGTGAACCGCCTTCTTTTGTTCAAACCACTAATGTTCAATAGGATTGGGATCTGGAGACTCAGATGGCCAGTCGAGAAGATTTATTCAGTGTGCAGTTAACCATTACTTTGTCCATTTGGATGTATGGTTTAGTTCATTGTCATGCTGGAATGGGTTACAATTTTACACCCAAGCTTGAGATTTCTGGCAAAGGAAACCAGGTGTCTGGCAAAATTGTACTTGTACATGTTGGAGTTCATGATTCCTACTATTCTTACAAGGGCTCCAGGACCAGTAGATGCAAAACAACCCAAAACAAAATGGACCTCCCACTTCATTCCAGTGTTTTTCAACAAGAGCTTTACCTATTTTACACCACACACAATGATGATCAGAGTGTCCAAAAAGATCCATGTTAATTCTATATGACTGAGAGACATGGTTTAAACTGTCAAAGGATTACTATAGCTCTTGACAGACAGTGCTTCATATACTTACAAGAATGAGACAACCACACTTCAACACCTTTTTAATTATATAAAAGTACCTGCCAGCTTCCCGTTAGCTATCATGTTGGTGGCTACCAGTTTGATGGTGCTCTGTGAAGGCCCGGAGGAGGTGATGGTGGTGACCAGGCAGGCCTTCAGTGAGTCACAATAGTAGCTGGCATTCTCTGCATTGGTCTCTAGCAGCAACTGTACTGCACGATCGGTCTGAGAAGCAGGAAAAAAAGAAGTGTTATTGGAGCAGGACCAAAGCTGACCTACAGTTCCCCCTCTCAAAAAAAAAACTACTTTGTTTCCTATTTTGCTAGCATAATTGGTTGCGCTTTGAAATGAAATTTGAAAGTATTAACAGAAACGTAAATGTGTACATTGAATAACTGCGTTTGAGGGGAGAAGTGACGTTTAAATAAAACCCTCCTTTGCAAGGTATACTGTAAGAGATAGGTGAAGACCCAAATCATTCAAAAGCCAACCAAGTACAACAGCATACTGTACCTAAACTGAAGAGAACATAAGAAATGTTAAAAATGCAAGGAGCACATTTAGCCTATCAAGCCAAAATAGTACTTAGTAGGTGATTGGCCCAAGGATCTCATCCAGCTTCTTGAAATAACTCAAATTATCAGCGTCAAAACCTTGGCTGGTAAGTATTTTTTTAAACAAAAGATGCAAAGCACCTTCTTGACACAGAGTTGTGACTGCATAAAGGAAAATATCGAGCTCCAGTGTTCAGGGGATGTAGCCTAAAATAATCACAAATGACATGAAAATGGTGGGCTAATCAAAGTGCTGATTAATGTCACAAAAAAGTTACATAAAACAGGAGAAATGTCCCTTCCTCATCACACTTGCAATATTCTCATGAAAACAGGTGTCAGAAAACAGAAGACTAAATTAAATGAAGACCTAAAAGTTTAAAGTTAAATCACAGAATTCATTACTGAATACACTACTCTATATTCAGGACACACATCTGATAGGTAACAGAATCATTATGCTATTAAATCAATGCATCTTAAGTCAATAGTTTCCCATCCTTTGTGTGATCAAAAACAATGCTCACTTGATATTACTTTGCAGCATCAAATAAATAAGTGTAACTGTGTTTTGCAAAACACTGTCTACCTCTATCCTGATCAGTGTTCCTTATAGGCCAGTACAATTTGCTAAAGACAACTAACTAATTAGAAAAAAACAAAAACAGCAGTTCAAAGATTATTGAGGGAAATCAATGAGGTAAACGTGCAAAGATAAGCATGAATATTGACAGCTACAAGTTTTAAATTTTCCAAAACTGGAGAAAATGTTGACAGTATAGAAATGGAGACAGTGTCTGTCTTAAGTCAAAGATGCAGAAGACGATAGCATCTTCATGTTCAATGCCCAAAACCATTGACAAGCATAAGCTAAACTGTTATTTTCATATTGATATTACTTTCAGAATTTCAAATACTAACATGTATAAGTAAAACAAAAGAAACATCTCACTTTAAAAAAAAAAAGTCCAGACTGCCAAATGTTATTTCCTAACGGCAGCAGCGCTTACAGATGGTCTGCTGTGGGTAGCAGATGTGTGCGAGATAGTAGGCAGAAGGAATGGTAATAACTGACCTGGCCCAGCAGGAGGAGCTGGTCTGCACATTTCTTGGTGTGTTCGTAATTGGACCTCTTCAGTTCTTGCAAGTGCACTCTCTCCAGATGGAATCTCTGCAAAGAAAAGGGAGCAAGCACAGAGAGAATGGGCAGGTGGCTGTTTGAAAACTCGGCCCCCTGCAAACAACAGGAAAGCCTCAGTACTTTAGGCCTTCAAGCTCATGGCACCTGACAGATGACATCACACACTGATCCAGGGGTGGTGCTTTCCAGAGAAACTCAAAGAAAGCTGACAGAAATACCCTAGTCATTCACTCCTGGGCCCCCAACACAAAACTCTGGACTATGTCAAATCTGTAGTCAAACTGAGATGTGGAGACGTCTGGGGCCTGAGCCAAAGCTATGGAGATGCCAGCCTCTGCAGTGGAGAATTTGATTTCTCCTTTGCAATTAATTGGATTTCAGACTGAAATGACTTCAGTTAGGGTGACAAAATGCGATATTCAGTAACAGTGTTAGAAATCAAACTAAAGACTCATTATTCAGTGAGTAATGTATTTAGAGGAAGCAGCTTAAATGCATCCTTTGGCAAGATAAAAAATGAATGTCCCCAAACGGCAGACCAAATCAAATTTTCAGTCTAGCTGGAGAAAGGAATAATTATAACAGCAATAAATCAGTAAATGCAGCAAAGTATCGTGCAAGTTGTAGTAAGACCATAAAAGTATACAAATAAGCAGTTATTACTTTTTTAACTGAGATTTATTTTTACTGCATGTCTCTCCATAGCTAGTGCATAAGTAAACTGCAGTTACGCAGCAAATACAGTTATGGAAATGGCAGTATGATCTTGTCACTCATCATTTAGAAACCTTGCAGTTCTAACCTCATGTGAAATGAATTTACAGTGTCCTCCATAAGTATTGGGACAGTAAAGTCACAATTGCTATTTTGCTGAGTATTTTTACTCAAGCAATTTGGATTTTAGATGAAAAGATTAATATGAGGCAGACGTAAAGAATTTCCCCTTTTGTTTTTGGGCATTTCTTTGCTTATACAGCAAAAATAGCAATTTTGACCCAAAACTTTAGAAGGGCACTGTCTTTTAGACATGATCAATTCCACACACTTGTTATCCAAGCTGCAAAAATGAAGACTGCATTAATCACTTACTGCATGTAATACAGGGACCATCACTACACTAAGGTATCAAACAGACTTTCATTCTGAAATAAGGGAATTCTCTGCAAAAAAAATCAATTTACTACCAACATCTTTTCACTAGGTGAAGCACATTCACAAACATCTAACTTTAATAGGTAAAACATTGATCTCGAAAAGCAATCTCATAATAATTAAATGGCTAAAGAGATGTGAGGGCAATATGCAATCTTTTACACAGACAGGGATGCTTAATCCATACGACGACCACAAATGTGCAGGGCTTTTACAGCAGGGCACTTTGGAATAGGTGTCACTGCTCCAGAGTGAATAATACATTCTACAGCAGCTCACAGGGGCCCACTCCATTTCATCAGTCTCGTATCCCTCTACTACAACTGGAATCCTTCCTGGCAAAATCAATATTTAGAAAGTTTTTGCAAATGGAAAACAGTTGTCTCTTAGGGGGCTCAGGCAATGCATAGAGCCTGACGTGGCCTTTTCATCAAATTTATTTTGCTCAAAATAAATAATAAACGAATGATGACTTTTCACCTCTGGTGGTCCTTGCAGCAGTTCTGTTTTTATGGGGTTTTAACAAATAGTTTTTGACAGGTTTATAAAATGTAAGTGGAAATATGAAAGATTTAAAAAAAGAAATGCATTTACTGGACTGTGGTTAGCTCTGATTTACTGAAAAGCCTGGTCTCCTGCACTCACACATTTTCTTAAGTCTACACACAATTACCAACAGTAGTTTTGGCACTTAACACCTAAAAAAAGATTATTCACTAATTTATTAAGTATGAAACTATATATATATACACTTTTAAGCACATTGAACAGTCATTTATCTTAACAAATGTGTTTTTCATTTAAAAGATTACACGTCAGTAATTTGATTTGAGCTCCATAAAGAGTAAGTCTTCATGGTTTAATATGTTACACTCAAAGTGTTCTGCTACACAACAGAACAATGTACCTGGAAATAGGAGTTCTCACAAAGCGTGTCATAACAGATGTCAAGGTGGCCAGCCAACTTGTCCTGTGTCATTTCAGTCTGGTATTGACTGGGCACACTCAGGAGCTTCCCCTGGGAAAAGGCATACAAATAATGGGCTGCAACTGTCCAGAACTGGAGGTCCGATTCATCACCAAAGAGCCTGTACAGAACACAGACAAAACAACACTTTAAACTGCAATACCCTACACAGTAAACCACCTCTGATCTTCTGAACACACTCTTATACCAATAAATGCTTCAAACGTCAAATCACATTTGCCCTGATAATTGTTTGACTTTTTGCAATGCAGCTTCCAAAGGGATTTGAAAAACATGAATTGACTTGCCCGTGCATTACCATTTAGGTTATACCAATTCATATAACAGGTTTTGCACATGACAAGGACATATAAAACTTGAATAAATGGTCACGAGAACAACTCATTTTCCTTTCCCCACTTGCTGAATCAGTTTTAATTTCTTATCACATATTAATGAACACAAATTCTTGTACCAGCTATTGAATTTTAAGAATTAATCTCCTGAGTTTCCTTTCTAAATCACAGAAAACATCTAGTTAAGAGCCTCATGCAGCTCTAGTCAAAATCATTCAGAGGCAATATTTTACAAATCAAGGCACTTAATTTAAAAGTGTTGTGAAAGCTGTGTAAATAAAACAATTAGTGTATGTATGGGGTGGTGCGGTGGCTCTGTGGCTAAGGATCTGTGCTTGTAGCTGGAAGGATGCCGGCTCAAATCCCGTGGCCGGCAGAGGAATCCTACTCTGTTGAGCCCCTGAGCAAGGCCCTTCACCCCAACTGCTCCAGGGGATCTGTACAATGACTGACCCTGCGCTCTGACCCCCAGCTTCTCTCCCTGTCTGTGTGTCTCATGGAGATGAAAAAAGAAAAAAGACAAATTCCTAATGCAAGAAATTGTATATGGCCAATAAAGTCATCTTATCTCTCCCTCTTATAATAACAATGTATCTTTCAAATTCTAAAAAGTTTATATCAACTGTCTTTATTATTTGTATACTATGTAACTGTAAAAATTGCCGCTCCACCGACATGAAAAATTACAATAAGGTTTGTCAAAATATAAATACAGGTTTAAATATGTTTGGTGACATAGCAATCCATTGTTTTTATACTAGTAACTGCATCTAGCTATTACTATTTTTACTGAGTTTCACCTCAACAGTTTTAAGTTTGTTATTCTTTTCTCTTTAGTGTACATGCATTACTTTAAAAGTATAATGAAATAAGGCAATTTACATGCCATTCAACATTTCACTGGTTCTTCAGAGTGAATTACGCTATTGTTACTGTGTCAACATAATGAAACACACAGTCTTACCGGGACACAAGTATGCACCTCTGCAGGAGATTAAACTCAGGATCCAGCAAAATGCCCTTGATATCACTGAGAAAACACAAATAGGCACACAATGCAAACATAATAAAGCTTTCAAGCATCCTAATTAAAAAAACACTGTAGGGAAGATCTGCATATTTTCATAGGTGAAGACTACATTTACTTTTTATATTTTAGAATTAATTATACTTTGTTAATCTTGTGACAAAACTCTGAACATTTCATAAATCTTGATTTAAAGAATAATGAAAACAGGTAAAAATAATTACAGAAAAACGATAAGCTTCCCACTCATAAAACCATTTCATTAAAAAATAATATGACCGACAATCCTAACTAATATCACAGTACCAATAATTATAATCAAAGCTACTTACTTGGACAGAGAATTGAGCTGTTCCTGCATTTGAAGTTTAACCTCTTCCTTCTCAGTATAATTACTGCACAGTAATGAAAATGTTATCAGCAAAACCAAAAATGTTTTTTTCTCAAATGGTATTATATTAACAAAATAACATTTTAAATCCATTCAGCCCAAATTACATTCGGATCTTCTTTAACAAAAGGAGAAAACAAAGAGAAGGACATGAAACATCTAAAAAAATTATCTAATTATTTAGAAAACAGACATACTGTAAGTAGCAACATTAGGAATTTTACAGCTAAGCAGAGGCAAATCAGGTAATTTTTTACATTTGATTACTTAGTAGTTTATTGACTGCCTCAAACTGCGTGGTCCAACTGAATTAGCTTCCACAAAAGAGTAAAGCAACTGTTCAAATGCATTTATTCAGTAAAGAAGCAGCACATATTTTCTGTCCTAAAGAAAGTTGAACTTAACTTTCAAATGTGTTAAGAGGTGTGGACTGGAGTTAAAGACAGACTTACATGTGGGAGATGTCCAGTGTATAGGAGCCATCCCAGGGCTGATGCAGCAGAAAGGCCTTGAGAGAGAGGGCAGCCCGGGGCAACAGCAGATATGGACACCATAGGGGATCTGTAGGAAAGAAACGCAAGAACGCTGATAGCTGGCACACTGCTGGAAACCACATAAACCTAACACCTTCATGATCAGTAATGTGCCATGGAGGATCTCTGCAGCACATGAAGTCAACCATCTCAAATCACAGCCATATATACGGTGGGACTGTTAACAAAAGAAAAGGTGAGATATCTACTATTGTGCTGATCTGTGACGAAGCACCAAACACCTAACTCTGTCAATCATGGGCAATTTAAGCCAATCTTTCAGATAGCCAATATATATACACCATGGGAGTAGAGGTACTATTCAAAATCAGCTAACTTAAAATAAATGCATTATCATCCTGTATATAACTTGGTTTAGCTTTCGAGCACTAGTTTTTTTGTATATTTCAAATTAAAATAAAAAATACTGCTGCTTAAGGATTTGAATGATTTGGCACCTGAATACTCCCTATATATCTACATGAGTTCTTTGGACTTTTTCACTCCTTCACATCCCAAATCAAGGTTCTGAACACTGCAACATCATGCTTTCTAATCAGTCACTCTAAGACTGTGGTATGACCTTCCAGGCCATGTTTATATCTACCTTTCACAACTAGTCAAAAACCATTAAACTCTAGAATGCAATTGTATTTAATTCACTATATTTAGTAGTGCATACTTTTCTTTATTGTGTTATAGTAAAGTGCTTTGGGATGAAAGATGTCATATAACAAAATTAGTTATAAGTGTTATAATTAGACCCTTTTGCTATTTCTAAAGTTTCTAACTTTAATATGGTATGGTTGTAAATGGGCAATTCTGCTGCCGCTTCACACATCGGTGGCACTAAACAAAATCCTTTCTTTCCTGATAAACCACAGGTACTGACACACCTATAATACAGTATCAGCAAATACAGAGCACTAACGTTTATAACAAAATCATAACCACAAAAATGAGACGGCAACGTCAAAGACAGCATCCTACACAAGGAGGAGAGGCAGAGCGGTGGCACAGTGGCTAAGGATCTGGCCAGTGGCTGGAAGGTTACTGGTTCAAATTCTGCAGACGGCAAAGGAATCCTACTCTGTTGGGCCCCTGAGCAAGGCCCTTAACCCCCACTGCTGCAGGGGCGCCGTATTATTGGCTGACCCTGCGCTCTGACCCCAAGCTTCTCTCTCCTTGTCTGTGAGCCTGTGTGTCTCATGGAGACACAGAGCAAGAAATTGTATATGGCTAATAAAGTGATCTTATCTTACACTCGAAGAAACCGACCAATAAACTGCTCTTCACAGAGGAACGTGCTGTGGAATTTATCATGCTAAATATATAACAAATGATACAAAGAAGATAACTGCATTTTCGTGGTAGAGAACGGCACCAGTTAAAAAGCCCAGCTACTCCCTCTCCACCTGTCAGCTCCTGCTCATCCACTCTGTAGCTTGCCGACTTCATTGCCATCTCCAGGACTCGAATGCAGCCGTCATCAGAGGCCAGAACCACTTTGTCAGAGGTGCACCAGTCTATGTCCAGGATCCTGTAGTTCATATTACGGCCGCTTCTCAGGCTGCTCACCATCTGTACCTGTGCGAGAATCACCAAGACATCAGCTCACAATGTCCCAAAATCCATTGGTGCTGTCTTATACACACTGAGCCCCACCTGGAAGTTTTACTTTGCTTATCGAAACTTTAAAACATTTGTTTGCAATTTCTTCTTGGGTTTTAGCACCAGTTTGTTTGTACAATGCAGGAAGGGTATCACTTGGAAAGAGGAGGTCCCAAGTATACCTACAGCCCTGGATCCACCATTCCCATTTCTAAAATCGAAGACAACATCAAAATCTCTCTCACTGTAGGGCATTTTCACAGAGATCCACACTCTTTAGCTTCCCAAAGTGATGAGGAAAGCTTATTCCAACAGTTCACAGTTGTTTTTACAGCAATTATGTTATTTGCTTTCACTTCACAAACTGTGGACTCCAATAAAAGTATTTTTTCCATTAAACAAATCAAGTTTCTCCAATTAAGATTGCTAAGTATTTGTTTTTATTTGGTGATGAGACCTTGAATGCCTGACATAAACACAGCCTCACTCCCACGCCCATGGTCTCTCAGTCAAGAGTGAGATGAAGAAAAATAGACACAAAAGATTGTAGACTACATTGCTCTGTTTAAAACTTAAATGAAACAAATAACCTTGCTGTTCAGCAGATTACGCTGTTGGTTCTTTCCATGCACAACATTTACAAGCATTTCTGTACTTAGCACTGCACCTCTTTGGTGTCCCAGACTTCAGCTCCATCATTGTACATCACCAGCAGTTTCTGATTGCCTTTCCCTGGAGCAAATCTGATCTTCTTCACCCACCCACGGTGTGTGGGGATTCCCCTTAAACCAGAACAGTCAACATTGTATTATAACCGCTACTTGCACTGTCATGTTTCTACTGGCCTAGACAATTGAGAACATGTTTAGATACACACACACAATCGCTCTTCTGCTTAAATATTTTAATTAGTTAAACAGTACGCAACTTAAAAAACAGGAATGGACCCATCTGTTACAGAATTATACTCTTATTTCAACTCCAGAAGATATGGGGTAAAAAAATGACTACAATGACTAAGAAACAAAGTGCCTGATGACTGCTCACTGCACCTGGAAAGCCTGGCTTTTAAATCCCAGAAGTTCAGGTTCCCATCCACGTCCCCAAGAACCAAGGTGTCTCCCTTCCACGCAATGCATGCAATGCTGCCCATGCTTCCCTGCAAGGCAACACAAAATACACATCATCTTAGGCCTATTAAATCATAAACCACACCACTTTATAATGACAATGATTCATAACAAAAAACTAAGGACAGCAAGATTCAGCATACTGTAGATCATTCCCGACAAGGTTCTAAAACGAGTATGTGCAATTTTAACTTTCTGTGTTGAGTTCAGAAGGGGTTATTTCTCTGCAGAAAAGAGGATTCTATGTTCTCCCATTTAGATTGAACAGGATGTAATTTCACAGTTCTGCACAAAGGGAACACAAGGTCTTGAATTGCTCTGTTTCACATCTTGTGGGAAGAGTGCACAGAATCCCCAACTTAGGGAGAACATTTCTTTCATCATACTAACTTAATAAGAGAAGAGCTGGGTAAATCTCAGATTCAAAGACTCTTAAACAATGTTCTTTTCTAATCCCCTGTGTTGCTTTTTAAATCTGTCACAGTAACAAAGTATAGGGAAATGAGTAAGTGAAATCTACTGCTTTTCATTTGTCTCTCTATAATAGCGAAAGTAAGTCAGGTTTTTATTTCGTAAGAGCATGGCCACCTTCATTAATCATTCTCAGTCTGACTGTATTATTGGCATAAAAGGCAATGAAACTGCCCTGAATTTAGGGTTTCTTAAATAGGTTCTGTCTTGGGTGAAAAAGCAACAAGCCATAAAGGTTAAATTAAGGGACCCTGTTATCTATAAGCTGTATTTGATATTTTTAATAAGTTGGGGAAAATCTATAAGATATAGTAACAGTGTTGCTTAGAAAGATGAGAACCCCAAAACCTCCCCCAGGAGTGTGAACTTAATATTTGAAGGAGTGCAAAATTCAAGAAACCATGGCTGATTAAGTAAATCAATATATCAAAGCACTGATTATTTTGCCAAATTGAGAATAGGACTTTTTTAAATCAGTGTTTTTTAATTTTTAATAACAAATGTCATTGCCTATTTGCGAATTTAGCACATTTCTAAAAAGTATGACCATATTAAAAATGATGTATGTCAAAAAGCAATATGAGGTAAAGCTAACTGCATGCACTTATTGGCAGCTTTTGTAAGTTCATTTCTGTTGTTCCTTTAAGAGGCACAAGTGGCACACATAGGCATGCTGAGGACAAGGAGCAGTACATGAATTGTGTTACATTCTCACCCACTCTCTGGCGTAAAGCCGTCTGTGTGGTCTTAAAAATGTAATCAAATGTTAATGATCATGTTTCTTAAACACCGACTCCAAAAGATAACCCAAAGAAATGAACCATGAATTCATGCATACTCTATCATTAGAATCCTTTTCAGCAACTTTTAATTTTGTTTTTGCTGAGGATTATTTCACCCGTTCCAATGAACCACTACATGCAATCGTTATGATTCTTCACTTTGCTTTAATGTCTAGTAAAATCAATGGCCTGGTGCTGTGAAGAGGAAGGTTCAGGAAGCTGCAGTGCAAGGTGAATGTATGGAACCTAAACATGCTGCAGAACAAGGAGAAGTGCAAACACATACAAATAAACTGTATATTAAACAAAACATCAAGAGGCCCGAGTCCAGTGCTTAATTACAAAATGATTGGAAAAAAGAAAGATTCAAAGAAACAAGCTAACACAGTATATAGCTAAGAGCAAGTGGCCTGTTAAGACGTCCATTTTGTTATTATAAGGGAAACAATTTATAGGCTCAAAGAATCACTTTAAAAACTCTGAACTCGCTGTAAATCAATCTCAGTCTATACACATTTAAATTTATAAATGTGGAGAAAATACATTCATAATGGTCATTAGTTCATCCTGATTGAAAGCAAACATTAGAAAAAACACCATTTTACGAAAGTGTGCAATTAAGGCTCTTTATTGTAAGAGAGATTCTTTTTCTGCTGACACACAAGGCTCCACCATTTCCTTCCCTTTTCTGTTCTCCTCTGTCAGTACTCAAGCGCTGAAGTGGGCACCATAAGTATTAATATGGGTCCTCCAGGAAAGGCAGAAGGGACATTTCTGTGCCTGGCAGAAGTAAGTTTAGTGTGTGCATGTGTTGGAGGTCATCGAACGCTTACATCTGGGGGGATCCTGGCACCATCCTTCACAGCGTTGCCCTCCACGGTCAGATGGTACACCTGGCCATCCGTGTCAGTGAACACAAAATGTTCCCGGGCTGAGATGTTCTGGCTCATCTCAGACTTACTCTCTGCCTCCTGCAGTAGACTGAGCAGACAACACACAGGTCTGCATAGGCATACAGAACACTTGGACTGGCTTTCAAGAGCTCCAAAGCAGAAAAACTAGCAAAACTATAACTGCAACCTCATTCTGGAATTGTAGATTTTGTTCACGGTGTAATGAAAGAGATAATGGCACAGGTCTCTGACTCTACTTCTGAAAGAACAGATTAATTTAGCAATCTATCTTCACCTAGACGAGATGCACTGTTCCTGCCCTACCTTATGACGGAGGATTCCACACTGATCTGCTCTGAATCAGACACTGTCTGCCTGGCCATGGCCTCTCGTGCTGCCAGCTGCTTCTTCCGCAAGCTTTTCAGGTTATGGGAAGGTGACCATTCCTGCAAAACACAGCCTACCTGCTTTTAAACCGCCTAGATTAAGAGATCTGTATGAAGCAGGATTTTTGTGAGTACCATAAAAGACAAGGTCAAGCACTGGCAAATTGAAAACGGTGATGACACTCAAGAGTGAAATACATGAGAGGACCTTCCTGCTGTTTATGTGCCACAGACCTTGCATTGATGACAGTCGAATACGTCTAGATTCACCTTTACTTAAGGATGTATATTATGCTCACATGCGAGGGGGAGGGGGGAGCATTGCTTGGATTGCTACAGTGTATCTCAACAGTTTATTTTTACCAGGAAGCAGCATAAAATGAAAATGAAATAGGAATGCAAATTACTGTTTCATTTAGACAGGCATTATGCAAACGTTTAAACACTTAAAATACTCTTTATATATTAAAATCGATGATGTGGAGGTGGGAGGTCAGGCATTAGCATTGCCAGCATGCAGAATAAGTGTTGCATCTCAGACAGATGTTTACCAGTGCGGTAACCACAGGGAAGTTCTTGGCCATTTCTCGGAGCAGAGTGCCTGTCCTGATATCCCACAGCTCTAGCGGCTTCTCCCGGAACACAACCACCAGGTACTGCCTGGCAGAGACAGGGCAGAGCCAGAACTGAGGCAGATACTCACCACTTAGATACAGCTCCCCAGTTCAAATACAGTACAGAGCTTGCATGGGTTACAGAACCCACTATATCAGAAATATGCATTTTAAATTTAAATACCAAGTTAAACATCTATTTTTTAATGTCATTTAAGTTCATCTGACATAGTTTAGAAAATATTTTAAAAAACCTGAACAGACCACATATAAGACCAGATATTATTACAATTCCTCTTAGCCAGGTATTCAAATAGCCAGGTAATAGTTCTTTCTTAGGTTCAGAAGGGAAAGGGCGGGTAATGGAAGATTAAGGGGTAACAGTTAACAGTTCTGTAACCCAAAAGAAATGTTCTAAAGCAAATAAAAGCAGCTAGAAATGTTAGCCTGAATACCAGAATATAAAGAGGACAGTAACAGGACACAAAGGCTTTTTAAGGCAATTTTAAATAGCATGAGAACTTGAACTTGAAGGCAGAAAGAAACAAAAAGAATCCTGGTATTGCTTTCACAGCACTTAGTCCTGGGAGGAATGTTTTGGAAGGTTAATTAAACCCCATTGTTGACAATGGACTCTCTCCGTCAGAGAATCATTTGTTTCTATTCATCCACTCACTCAAGACTAGCTTGCTCACAGGCTGCCACTTGTGTGTGCTTTATAATGAAAATCTTTGCCAAGCAATCAGCTCCTGATTGACAAGCCAGGCTTTAATCAAGTAAAAAAAAGCATTATTAAAGTTTATACTTGAGGTGTTCAGGACCTTAGGCATACTTACTTCAGATGAGACACTTTAATCATTTCAATTGCAGGTTCATCGTTGCCTCGCTCACCCCGGAACGCCAAGCTCCTGCCTGGGAGGATGAAGTTATTTAGAAACAATCAAAGGAAAACTTCATTTGGACTGCAAGCAGTGCACCCTGTGTAATTGACCTGTCACATCCCTTACATCTCTCTGGACTAGGCTCCTACTCCCTCCCCCAGCTACCTACCCTGTTTGACAGGCAATAGCACCTTGTGGTAGTTTTCTGCAAACCTCAAACCATTTTATTAAGGACAACTGACAAAATGCCAAACCAAACGTAAAAGGAGGTGCTCGGCTTTCAAGCACTCAGTTCCTTACTGCACTACATGCTTTGTTTTCCCTTTCCTCCAAGGCCAAAATACTGATCTGCTGTTTTCTAATTACTTTCTGCCCTCTTAACATATTAATCAGCATATCCAACTATAGAAACCCACTGTCTTGGCAGTGAGAAAAAGGTGTGATTTCCCTGGGCATTTAGAGATGCAGTTCAAGGGCAAACCTACTTCAGACCAGAACATGATCTTTTGACTTTTGACTTTTGACTTGATCACTGTGAAGAACTGTGCTCACAGTTATGGTAACAGGACACTTTCATCAGAGAAATTAAACTACAAACATAATTATGTGAAATGGAGTGTCTGCTGTGCTAACCTGTTCCAAAATACCCTTAGTTCCCTCTTTAAACTGTGGAATAACTGCATTTGGAACATTTTGGATAAGTTATCCAAATAATTTTGGATAACGTACATGCTACTTAATCCTACACTGTTTATAGCAGGATACAGGGAAGCACTGTATAAAAAACAAGAACTAAAAAAGCAATTTGGCTTTTAAGTCCTCTACTGAAATTGATCAAGGGAATTGCAAAATGAAGCAACAACAGACTAAATTTAAATATATGTAATCAACTGTCTGCTGAATAAATGCTAATGCGCCCTACTTTATCACTTGCTTGTTGTTTTCATGAGAGATCTGCCACCTACATTTTTTGATTGCCAGATTCAAATTATGATTTAATTGTGCATGCATTCATTTTCTAGTTTCCTCATTTCAGCTACCTGTAATTACAGTGCTTCAGGAGACTCAAAGCTGAATTAAGGACTTTGTGCACAGCACTGATTTACACAAGGATGCAGTAGAGTGAGAGAACCACAGAGGGTTTTGGCTTGGGGCTCAGAGTGGGTCAGTGAACACCATTCTCATGGGGCAACACAGAGTGGGTTACAGCACCAGGGCAGACGCACACGTAGTCCACAATTCCTACACAAGCATCTCATTCTAGCATTTACTGTATATTACTATCTAGAGCACGTACGGAAATATGTAGGGCACTACTTTCCCTTTGAAAAGCAAAAGCTAAAAGCCATTCAATAACCCTGGTTCCATAAGGGATTGAGAGAATGAGGGGTTCCATGTACCCCACTGTGAAAAGGACAATGCTCCACTAGTGCTCCCTGGGCAATCTGCACTTTGCCATCTGCGAGCAAGTTTGGACAAGGAGTTATTTTGCTTCTCGAGGTGCGAGTCATTCCATGAACAGGACGGTGGTGCCTGTTCTTTATGTTTATTCAGAAAATACATCCCAGTAGATTGATTGTGCTATACATCATAGGATGGAATCACCACTGTAAAAGAACAATCGTGAGCATATAAATGAACAAATTTGGCCAATTCCTTCTTTATCCTCAGCAGGTCACTGACCAGTGCCTGTCTGGGTTTATGAATTAAAGGAAACACATGGTATGTCCTCATGTCAGCTCCTGAGCAGAGGGCTAGTATACCTTGCTCTGATTCACCAATCTCTTTCACCTCTACCTTCACACACAAAAGGCAAGATGAGGGAGGGATTGTTTCACATGCCCTACCTAGCTCCTACTGCTCAGAGAAGAGGAAAAAAAACACATGGCACTCACTCTGGCAAAGATGCCGCATGTGAAAAAGCAAAGGAAGTATGAAAAAAATAACTGTAATTTTAGATACTTATTGTTCAAATGCTTGCAGTTTGTTCTTATATTTGATCTCATATTATTCCTCTACTAGTTCAATGGTCTGCAATATTATAGTTTTGTATTATAGGAGAGCTAATTATGCAAAACACAAAATGAGATCTATGCTAAGCTTAATACTTCAACACTTTAATTCACTGATCCCTCTTGCTACAGCAATATAGGTAAGCACATTACCATGATTACTGGTTGCACTCAAGACACAACCAGTGTGGCTGGCTGCTGCAGTATAAATTATTCAACCATATTCTCTGCATGCAAAACAAACAGGCAGACGTGGTCTCTAAACAGAGCTGTGGAGGTTAAGGCAGTTGTGTGCTTTAATTTGAGAATCTGACAGAGACGCCCTTCAGGACTGCCACTGGAGTTCATAAAAGTCTGTTATTGCAGTTTTCTAAAGAAATGTCACTTATACAGACCTGCTTAGCTACAGTAAATAATGTGATTCTAAAAAAAACACACAGGGTTTTCAATTGGAAAAGCTTTAAAGGTCATAACAAACATTTCAATTTGTTCACATAAAAATTACAATATTAAAGTATTGCAGTAATTATTACACTTAGAAAGTTTCAATTACCATTATCAGAAACAGGCTCTTATTTTCAAAGTGCTGCCAGTAGACAGTACCCTTGACAGAATGGTCACTACATTGAAAATGTCATTGAAATTGATTGATTTCCTTCACAATCATTAATGTACTCTTGAAATAGATTCAAACAAAAATGTAAGATTCTGACTCCTGTCTATCACGTCACCCACCTGTGGGCAGATCCACGTGCTGCAGCTCGTTTCTCACTAGACCCAGGTTGTTAGGAGTAGATGTGGCGAAAGACAGGAAACTGGTGAGGCTTGCCCATTCAATTCCTCTGTAATATAAAGTGCCTGGCTCTGAGTACCACAAGAACCTATAATTGCAGTATGGACAGATATGCATCCTTATCATCCTATCCTCTACTAGTGAAAGCATAGCTCTTCCCGAACACAAAACTGTTAAAGCCTTTTGTGCCGGGCCAGCTAGAAAGGGATATAACTGCAGGTAACCTGCCATCAGAGGGCACTATATGGTCTCTAAGTTAACTGTTAATAGCCACAGTGGGGATTTATTTGTTAATTATTAGTTAACTGGTTAAAGGATTAGGAATTTACATTCTTATATGGGTGTAATTAACTCTTGGTTTGGTATAAAAGATTGGGATAATGCTAGTGGTTTTGGGTGCTGACTTTTTGGTTAATGTTCTTAGCCTGAAAATAAAACACTCCTGACTATACATCTGGTAACCATTATTAGTTTATGTGTGTGTGTGAATCATGAAATTGCCCTAGTAAAGTAAGGTATTATCTGTTAAGACATTAATACAGTTGAAATGAGATGACAATGTGTTGACTAGGCTATTTTTCTGACAGTGCCACTACAGCAAAAGTGTACGCTTACATTTCCACAACAAACACTTCCAAAATACCCACAACGTTGTCAAAACCACCTTTCAATAACATTCCAAACAAAGATAAAAAAATATCATTTTTATCATAGGCTTAAGGAAAAAAAACACGATACCACAAAAGCCAGAAATGTCAGTCTCCGAAGACAGGTTGAGAACAAGTGACATACAGAAAACAAATGTAGTTACCCAAGGTGTTTTCTGAGTTTCTGATAAATGCAGGAAAAAAAATGCAAGAAGTGATACGATAACAGTAAAAGTATCACCTTGACTGGTTGGTTGTTGGTTTTTGAACTATTCCTGACATCCTATAAGCGTGTCACAGCTTACAACATATTTCTTTAGCTTCACTTTTAATAAAGCAAATCTGCATCTCTGAATATCCTCTATCCTGTAGAAGATGTGCTTATTCCAGCCTACAGCACAAAACTGGCTTGTCTTCGTAGGAATACATTTAGCAGTGATGTAATAAATTACAACGTGTTATAAAAATTCAATTCCCTCCTTTTAGCAATGTGAACGAGTCACATTTACTCCAGCTCTGAAACCTTTAGAAACACAGCTTCAGAATTGGAACGGAAATGGACGATGATATGAATAGAGAAAGCTACAACAAGACTAGAAAACTTTACCTGCAGTATTGCCTAGAGGGATCGAAGTCATAGAAATATACTAAGGCTTCTCTGTCTTAATGAAAATGTTTACAAAGAGAACTGAATTAAAGGAAACAAAGGACAAGGAGAAAGAAATAATCACAGTGGCAGTGCAATAAAAAACGGAAATTTGATCTTTTAATTATAACTATATTTTCATCAAGAAAATAAAAATTATAATGACTTATATTGACGTTCTCTAATGCAGCACATTTTCTAGTGAAATTGCAACAATTGTTGGGATTACACTGGATACAGTGTTGGGCAGATGGCCAGAAGCCCACTCTTGTTTAAAAGGCTTTACAGGCTAGAGGCCCAATAGGAGCATGAAGGAACTGCCCCTGTCTCTGTTCCTTCACTGCCAGTGTGTTCTCTATTCTTCTCTATTCTTCAGTGGAAACCACACAGTAGCCTAATCTTAGTTAGATCTACAGATCTCAGTAGTTAGTATAGGAATGGGAGATGCCTAAGGAAAGACGGGTTGCTGGTTTGTTTTCATAGTGCTTTTTTCTCATATTTGGACATCTTCCCTTGCCTGACTCACTGTTCCACCAACCACGATTCTTGGATCTTCCTCCAACCTGGATCACCCGACCTCGTGAACCCTCTCCAGTGCTCCTGCCTGTGTAGTTATCCCTTCAGTTCTACCTCATGTGCGTTTTCTTGTTCCACCTGAGCCACATGCCTGCCTATCTGCAACCTCTGCATGGCTGCCTGTTGCACTCTTTGCCTTTCTGCCGGCCTACATCCCTGCGGTCTGCCGCATACACCCCAACTCCTTGCTGATCGGCTCTCTCAAAATGAGCTCTCATCTCCTCAGGCATAACTTGCTCCAAACCACCACACACTTTCAGGTTTGTTCAGTGGTCCAACACAAGGTGCAATCCTTTGGATAAGATATTAAACTGAGGTCCTGTTTACCTAGTCATTAAAGCTCCCATGGCATTATTCATATGAGCAGGAGTGTTAACCCCTGCTGTCCTGGCTAAATTCCACTTTGCACTGTCTGTCCTCCCTAAAGTTCCTTCTTAATTCAATTTACAAACCAATTTCTCACTCTTCCACTCACTCTCTGATGTTCTGTATAGTGGGGCTACTGGCACACTATGCATGCTGCACATCACTCAGGTGGGTAATGCAATTTCAGGGTGGATGATGTGGGTTCCTTCCAAAATGTCAAGCTCTTTGCATTCCTTTAGGATGGAGGTATATAAAAAGTGGTATATAAATGCAACAAATTATTATTCTAAACATTATATATGGAATATTTACACCATAGAGGCATAAACATTTGTAACAGTCTTGAAGAGCCTTCAAACTCTCACAGGAGTTTATAAATGGAGTTTGAGATTTGGCTAAAGTACCAAAAAATCTGTCCAGAAACAGCATGAGCTACTGATTTATACTTTTAATATTTTTAAGGTCAGAGAAGTCTCTCTTTTTCTTCCGGGAAACGGTACTGATGAATGAAGTATGGAATGTCTTTTTTGAATATCAACTGTTCAGCAGAGAAATACTACAATGTGGGAAAAAATAAAATATGCTACATTCCATCAAATAGAAGGGTTTTATTTTAATCAATATCTTGAAAAACCATTAAACATGTTTCAGGAAACAGTTTCCTTCTCCTCTTCTCCTTCACATGTCCTTTAAAGCTTCTGTCATCATTTTAAATCTCATTGATTTTTTTACTCTCATGCCTGAAATCCAATAAATCAGATGGAGATGATCCATTTTTAAATATTGGTATCTAATTACACAAAAGTGATAAGGACCTATTCATGTTTGTAAGATGCATGCTGTCATTTAGGATTAGTTTATCAAAGGACATGTGAAGCTTTTTCCTTTGCCAGTATCGAATGCTCTGGATGTTATATTAAATAAGACAGGCCTTACTTGACTTCACAGGAGTGCACACTTAACTCCTTATGCAGAAGCCCACTTGTGAGGTTATAGACCAGGACAGACCCATTGCTTGTACCTGAGAAAGACAAATGACAGAAAGGTACATAATGTTATTTATATTCCTGTTATTATATGATCACTTCATCTCCAGTCTCCTTAGGGCAAAGCAATCAGATAGGTTTCTTTTTGGAGCCCATAGAAGCAAGTGGGTTCATGAGCAGCTCTGGGACATTATAAATTGAATTTCTTAATATGTGTACACCCTTGGTAATAAGACACATCCACCCTTTTAGAAATACAAATTTGTTCCACTTGAAGAACTGGTTAATTAAAATAAATAATGATCAATTTTGTTAATACAGTAAATGATCTCTTTTTTAAAGCTAATTAACTGCTTTTCATTAACTGTGTTCAGTGAGAGACACAGTTACTCTTTACCCATTACTGTTCCAGACTCGTTCCCTCAGCCAGGAGGCATTATTATATAATCTGCAGCTCTGAAGAAATGCGTAGTTTTGATTGCTCTCTTCCATTTTGTTATTAGGGTTCTATATGTTTGCTATTTTTATCCTCGGCCTCACTGTTGAAAATTGCCACAGGCTAATTTAATCTGTACAATTCATAAAATATGATATTTTGCAATCATACATTTTCCCCTTATAAGAGAAGCAGTTTGCAAAGTTTCTTTTCTGTACTTAGCTGTGTTGGTTCTCAGAGCGTAATGCTCACCAAGAGGAACAAAGAAGGAAATGAAGCTTTTTTTCAGAATCCAGATTAATTACCTGCTGTTTCTGAGTCACTACCACCTAAGTGCAGGCTGACTGGAGATGCAAACCTCCCATAAAACAGCTAGAAGAAACTCAGTGTTGTCAGCAGTAACAGCCGGTGCCCTGCAGTGTAAAAGACTAAGAAGAAAAAGTGTGGGATCCTGACTTGAATGGGATTCAGTCAGCAATTTCCACCCCTGATGGTTCAACACAGCTACAGCATGCAAGTCATTGCACTTCCCTTGTCAATTCTATCTAGGTTTAAAAGTTTGGTTCACATTTTTAATTTACTATTTAAAAAGTGTTGCATCATCACAGCATTAGTTAACCCTGAGTGAGTGAGAACACTCATGCAAATCTAGAGTGCGACTATGGCTGTCAATTCTGCCACAAAGTCTACTGTACTAATAATCAAAGCTATTTCTGTGGGAGAAATGTTGCAAAATTGCAGAAAGATCAATGAAACATGACACTGCCATTTCTTCCAAATAGTCTTCCGAAAATATGAATTCAAATAAATCAGAGAGGAAATTGTCCTTTGGTCCTGCTTCTTTGAAAATGCAAAGAAAGAGTTAAACAACAAGCAATTCAGCTGTCATCTTAAATATACTATTCTTACGTTAATACGTTAACTGCTCCAATCATGCTAATTACAAGACTAACAAAAACAAGAAGAATTCTTTCACAACTAAGCTGCTTTCCTTTTTGTTTCTACCCGTGTATTAGTAAAACATTGAACAAAGGGGCTAAATTAATTAAAATGACACAGTTAGCAAATTAATAATTGAAGGGTTAGTTTCAGCATGAGAACACTGTCATGAAGAATGGTGCTTGCTTTAATATAATTCATTAGAAGATGCCCTTTATCTTGAATCCTGCAGCTCACAGACATATTCTGCACACAAGCTCTATAGATAAAGACTTACTATAGCTCAGGTCAATTTCCTGTGATGGGGCTCATTAATAGGGGTTTCCACCAATAAGGGTAATAATTAACAAAACACTGACTGAAGATTAGGGCTGTGTGTAAATCACAAAGTCAGCATGTCTCAACAATCCATTTTGTGGGAAAGTATGTCTGCGTATTTTAAACATGAGGTATCTCAACCAGACAAAAACTCCAGCAATGTAACCCTCTCCAAGCCAGAAGAGCTGAAATTAACAATAATCAGATGCACTGTGCACAAAACACAGGAGAAAAGATGTTAAACTGTTCTCGTTCTTTTTCCTTGTTTGATTGAGCTGAGGATAAACATTGCTGGTTCCAAGTGCTTCAGCCAGAAAGAGTCTCTGATACAGTTGCTGGGAATCCAAGAGCAGAAGGGTAAAAAGCCAAGCGGACTCTTTTTATAGTGAAGTGTCTGTTACAATTACTTTGAGGAGTTAAACTTCAACATATAATCCAGAAGGCACAAACTGATTTGGGCTTTTTTTCTCATGCACAGATGTTATCGGGAATCTTTTACTTATTACCCTGCCAATGCGCTGAACCAGGACTCAACTCATATCTGCCATATGAATACATCATTACTGAGGCATATCACAAATACATTTTTCAATTAGTTGTTTAAACCGGTTGTACTCTTAATCCCATTGCTTCTTTGACTTATGTATGCCATTAGTGTCTTGGCAAGCTTTATTAAACATTTGGATCGGGAACACAAGATAACAGATTTGAATCAAACTTCTGCAACCGAAGGGCTCTTTTTCCTACATTATTCATTTACAGCAAACTATAAAGGATGTTGAACCTGACTCCACTATAATTCAGACACTTCTGAGAGAGCAGATGATGCTGATGAGATATAACAAAATAATGTAGGTGTGCCAGAGGCAACAAGTCACTAATCACTAATACACTGTACTGCAATTATGTTTCCCTGATTTCTGCTTTGAAAACTGTCTGAGGTCTGACAGAGGGGAGCCCAATTTGGACCTATCATTCTTAGTGCAGGACCTGGCGGCAGATTCGCCCCCTTGGCTTCAGTGATTAGGAATGGTCAGTACTGGAGAAGCCAACATGCCTCCACAGAACAGCAGACACAACTGCAGTCACCTTACACTCTTTAAATCGTACCCATGTTTACCACTGAAGTCCTTCAGTCTTCCCTATACTCATAAACTTACAATAATGTTGCTTTTCTGCAATTATCTGCACATTTGGGATCATTCCTAAAACACATGTTTGGCCAAGGCTGGTACCATCATTTTATATTTGTTTCTGATTTATAAATGGGGCTTTTGTCATGGTACCATGAAAGAAGGTGATAACATTCAGATACACCTTCCCATGCATTTGCATACACTTTAAGTGATTAATAAATTATGATGGTAAAAGGTTTTTACCAGCATGAAAAATGCAACATGCTAAAGTGCTGGCAGTAAAAGTACCAGCTTGTCGAAGGGAAAAGCTTAATGCCGATATATTCAATTTTCATGTAATTAATGTGTCAGTCTCTGACCTGACATGATATTTCATTTAGTACATTAATTAAATCTACATTTGACGTCACGTCAACACTGTATTATAGTGAAATCTGTGAAATTAACTTTCATTGCTCACGTTAACATAGGTACAAATCAGCTTAAGGTAGCTTTCAGGAGAAAGGACATATTTTTACTTGATTTTGTTTGATTACTTGACACAAAAAGCAAAGCAGAGCGGACCTGTCAGATTTTTGTTAAACATAATCAATTTGGAATCAGCAAACATGCAATTGGAAAATCTAAACACCCTCTTCTTCTGTATTCAGAAACAGTTGTGAATAGATTATTTTGCAGTTTATGTATAGATGATTTGTTGTACTCTTTCTATCTGTGTATGCCATAAACTAAATTAGAATAAGAGTAATTTCCCTTAATGTTCCTACAGTAAACAAATATTTGTTCGGGTCATATGTGTAATGCTGAATTCAGTCAAACTGAGCACTATTGGTTTGCTTTGTCATTCCAACATTTCGTTCTCAGTGTTGGGCTCTGGTCTATGGCCATAGTCTCTCAGAAATTGAAATTATTGTTAGAAATGTCACATTATTTATCCTGATGAGATTGGTTTTATGTCTGAGATAACACAGCCTTTAGGGAGCTTTAATAGAGAGATACAGGTATATTGCCTCAACTTTAACCCACATGGAGACTTTTTTCTTTTGGTCTTGAACCCTGTATAATCTCAATACATGTCAGAGATAGAAATAGAACTTCACATCTCCAGTTAATCTGTGACTTTCAAAGCAACTGATGTCTATTGTTCAAAGCACACAGGAGTAAAAAGAGGCTTCTCTGTGTCCAGTCAGGTTGCTAAATGAGCAAGGGGGTCCTAGATCCTGCACTACTCACCAACGGCCAGCAGGGGCTGATAGTGGTTGATGTTCTTAGTGGTGAGAGGAGGGCACATCCGGATGACAAAGGATGGATGTGGAAGCCCTGACAGCAGGCCTGTGAGGAGGAACTTCAGATGGACCTCCTGCTGTAAGGGGGCATGAGGGGGTTCATCTCCTGAAATCAGGCTCTGTCCTGTAAGGGACACATTAACATGCTTCATCAGCAAGTACTTCGGCAGCTGTCCTCACTACAGACTTTTTTCCATTGATGGATAACTGAAATTAAAGACTGAAAAGCTCACAGTACTAACATGGGTGACGTTCTGTCACTACTGTTACTGTTTCTATTATTAATATTGATTCATTTCACACTTATCTAGGAAGGAACCATATTTTCCCCCAAAGTAAAAACAACTGGACTTGTAACACATTGATATGAAAGTTAACAAATAAAGAATCAAAACACACAAAAATTATTTGATGGTAAATGAAACCAGAACAATTAATTACCACAAGATTAAGACAAAATCAAGGCTGATTTTGCATTTTAAGGATAAGAATCGGACAGTTCAGTGATATTACCGATCATGCTGTCGAGCGACAGATCGGGTATTTTTTTCTGATGGAGTCCCAGCGGTATTCCACAAAACGAGACAGGAGAGTAGAGAGGAAACACTCCTGAGCTGCTGGAGAAAGAAATTAGAATCTGTCTGTTCTGCTTCCTCAGTATTGCATATTATTGCTGCATACACTGGATACAACTGTGCTCTTCTTCAGCTGTTCCATGTTTTACGCCTGCTGTGCACTGCTGGACCACAAGCAGGTGTGGCAAAAACTATACAGTCTCACGGACCCAACTTCATTACTGCTTTCAGCACCAAAACCTTTCAGAATATTGACAGTTTTAAGTATTTTATTTTCACATCTTTCCAGGAATAAAAAGCAAAGCTATATATAAAAATTAATATTTTCTTAAACGATTACTGCACACATCTGGTAAAAGCACAATAACACAACAGGGAGATAACTGTTAAGAAGTCAGACTAAAAAAACAGTTTATTGCAAACTGCAACTACTGGACCATTACACGTGATAATCTGTTGTCTGAAAGTTATAAATAAAAGGCTAAAAAAAGAGGGATATGAGTTTTTGTGTTCATCACAGTATCACACTTCTGTGAACAGCATAAAGAATTCTAAATGTTTACTCTTATGGCATTCCAAAGGAAAATCATATTAAATACTTTTTTCTTCTTTTTGAAATGTACATTTACATATACTACATATATCACTTCTGCACTTTAATACATCAAAGAAATTAGATTGCTTAGAAAAAAAAAGAATTAAAATGCATTGCATACAGTACACCAGTAAACCAGAGCAGTGTTGCATGTGATTTACAAGTCCAAGTGCCAGAAGTAAAATGCAAATTTTACTGTGCTGTGTTAAAAAACTCTGAAAAAGCTTAGCACAGATGAGCATGCTTAGTGATAAGAAAGGGACACAAACTGGCTGATGAAGGTTAATGGTCACACAAAAAGAGAATGAAAATACCACTGTTTTCCACTCAACTCCTGTCAGCTAGAAAGCTCTTCGCTGTAGCAATGGTCACTAAAAAATGACTCAAGCATATGTTTAAGACACACTGGTTACTGAAAAGAGCCGACAAGAAGGGGAAAGTTAAAAAAACTGAAAAAAAGGTGAAAGCTTTGTTCTTCTTACAAATGATAAAGCATGCCTGATGAGCCAATCAATCATTAAGCACCTGGGAGCTGACATCTTACAAAGCCCTACAAATCAAACGCTCACAGGTGGTCACATGAGCTAGATGATCACAGTATAAAAGCCTGACCTGGGGTAAGACAAGATACAAGTTATAGGGCTTAAAGGGTTATGGAAAAAAAACTCTCAACAGTTTAATCCTGGCTTGAAGGCAACACTGTGTACCTGTGGTGCACATTAGATCTGGCAGCATGAACCTTGAGTTCCCACAGCATCACCCTGCCATCGCTGATGATGAGGCCAGCAGAGTTCTCATTGACAGGACAGCACACGATGCAGTATGGTCGCACTGTCTTCGTCACACGAATTGCATCACACTGAGAACGCAGGTCATACACCAGCTCCTGAACACTCTGGTCTGCATCTAAACAGAGGATCGAAAAGAAGTAGAGTGAACAATTTAAGAAAAAGGAAATAAGAGGGTGCGAAAAGTAAAAAGACAATGAAGCAGGATAAAGGAAATATGTGGGTGAGGTGGGAAAGTGAATTTCTGAATTTATAACTCAGGACTGACAGGTACATTCACAGATGGAATATAAGAAAATGCCTTCTAATTTTAATGTGCAATAAAGTTAAATGTATAAAACCAATAATCTTCAGTACAAGTCTTTTGCTATTATATTAGTATTCACAACATATATGGACAACATAATATTAAAGAAGGGATCGGAGAAGCTCGGTCCACTGTCACTTGCCTGTGTCCTCCAGCACACTAGAATTGGAGCGGCAGATTCTCAGAGTGATACAGCCATTTTCATGTAGACAAAAGAGTGCATCTCTCTGAACACATGGTATAACCTGCATGGGAGAAAGCATGCTTCATCTTCATTACTTCTTTCGAGCAGCATAATGTTGTATTTCAATGTTAAAGTATTTTAGGTTAAATCTGTTAGTTGCACAGACTGCAGATAAAAGACAATTTAAGCATCAGTCAACTCTAAACTTCACCAGAGCTAAATTATTAATTCATCCTAAATGACAGCCCTTTCCCATTACATTATGCGTACTTAACATTTATTGCACTTACAAACTACTAAGCTTTTCTTCTAAAAAATGCTATTTGGCATACAGATTCCATTAGAAACAGATGGGAGAAACTCCACAAATGCTGCAAAAACTTCTTGCCATAACATTTCTTATACTGAGGAGCTGATCCAAATCAAATAAAAGAACAGATGTGCAAAGATCAGAAACTCAACACAGTCCCAACAGTTGTGGGAAGACCCCCAAAGATTGCGGTCTTTTTAATGCACATCTCAGTAGGCACAGTAGCTCATCCTTAGCCTCTATACTCTGGCTGGATTTGCTGCCATATCTCTGAGAATATAATTTGTAATGCAAATTGCATCCCTGACATGTAGTTTATAATACTTAAGATACACTGAGCTCTTGTAAGTTCGTTGCAGTCACTGTGACTAATGCAGCGTGACTCCTCGACTGTGACAGAGGGCTAGAGCACTCACTTGGCTTGGCAGGTGTTTCCGAATCCATGATTATAACAAAACAACTATCTTATAATCAGAAGGCCAAAAGTAAATACACATATCTGGCTGAGCATAATCTTTCTGAATTATCATCCTATGAGATGACTGTACTTTCAATATGCAAGACAGATTGCCACAAGCAAGACTGGAAAAGAAATTCATGGCATCAATCCGCAGAATTTTCATTACCCCCCAGGACATAGGATGTTCTCTCCTCCAGCAGTTTAGGATATAAAAAGCATAGAGATTGAATAACAACCACACAGTTAAATGAATAAATGACTCTTGCTCTAGCCAATATATGTATTAAATAAAATAGAGTATATACTGTATATTTTTTGTTTTTTATATAATAAGGAGGAAATAAGATTAGTGATGGGGCCAGCAGCAAACCTTAATGAACACACCTGGATATAAACAGAGAGGTCCCTGTATTCAAAAGTGGATTCTAAGCTAACCTCTTGGAGGGTCTTTAATTACAAACAAGACTGGACAAAATAAACTAAAAATACTCTTTAAGCAATGAAAGAACCTAAAAAAATATAGAAAATAATAAAACTGAAACCTAAACACTCCTGATTTGGCTGTTCTTTAACTTGTATAGTCAAAGTGGGAGTGTAAACCGTCCGACCTTGGGCAAATTGCTGATAGATATCGGAAGGATCCAATTACTGATCAACTTTAAAATCCTAATCACTTAAAATACATTACTAGTGAGGGATACGCTGTCCCCTGACCTCTCCAAAATATTATAATAAACTATTTGACCACACTCAACATATTTCCAGTTTACCTAAGGGATTTTAAAAAAGACAAAAAATATTGATAATTAAAATGATTCTTTCCATTTATCTGACATTTCTCAACTTGTAGAATCTTAAAATGGTTTACATATAGAAGGGGACCCACTTCATCTACCACTCAAGTGCAACACCCACCTGGGTGATGTGTAGCAACCATTCTGAGCAACTAACCCCACTGCACAACAAATCAGGTGAAGAAATTCAACAACTGAATTAATAATGAACTTCTGAAATACCACAGTGTGCCCGAAATATAGCCAGGGCATTGGGGTTAACAACCTGGCTAAATTAAGTCCATGCAAACTTTAATGACCAAGTATTCAGGAACTTACATTGATATCTCATCTGAAAGACATCTTCTTGTCACACAGTGTCCCCAGAAATCTTGGTCCAGATATTAGAGTTCCACCTACTGGTCCACTAACACTACTTATAGCACCAACCTGCTACTGTATCCAACTACTGACCAGGCCCAGCACTGCTTAGCTTCTAAGATCCTATGAGATCAAGCTACAAGGCAGAAACAATCAGTGGATCTTGAATAGATTCTACTAAAATAAACATCAGTGTTGGGAGTACACAGAAACCACTCTGAGACCCATGTTTTTTCATTGTGACCTACTAACTTACCACTTTAACGCACCACTTTCTTCTCACCAACCTTTCATTTAACAAAAACAGAGGAAATAAAAGAAAAATGCTTCGACTAAAACAAGAAGAGTTTTTTTTGTGTACCTGTATGAAAGGCACCCCCGTGCGCTCTATAGCCACAACCCCCACAGTCTGGCTGACCTCCAGGTCAAGGATGAGGATCTCCCGGGGGTACAGCAGCAGCATGTGGTTTCGCTTCGATGGCAAATATGACAGTTGCAGGCAGTCATTCAGCGTCACAGACTCGGCACTGGCAAGTAAAAAGTACACATTAAAATGTATTTCCATTGCAGTCCTTGATTCACAAGGAAACCTAACAGATTACAGAGAGCAGTTCTGATACAAAAGCAAAACTATAAAACTTTAATTAATCCCCAAACATGAATAAGAGAGCAGACATCAACACTTCCATTTACTGTACTTAGCCCTGCGTACCTTGCAGGCCCTGATGCAGATGCATGTAGAGAAGACTGACATTTATGCCTGGAGGAACAGAAGCACTATGACATAACTGGGCAATTCCACAGCTGCAGAGGATCTTTTTCCTTCTGAGTCATACATCATCTGTTTTGAAGTCACCACTTGGCCTTTAGACCAGTCCTGAGGTTCAGGCTTAACTGAGCTTAGGAGCACTAATTAAAGAGTCTGCCAAGACTCTTGTCAAGTGCAGCATTAGTGGGATTAATGTGTGTGACCCGAGTCTGCAGGTCTTTAATGATTTTCCTGCAGGGAGCTGTAAAGACAGCAAAGGGGATGATAAACGTACTGAACCAGTGTCTAGTCAATTTAAACAGGTTCTTCTTACTCATATCTATCTTACTATTAACCAAAGTTGCTTTCAAAGAGTGACACTACCAAATTATAAACCTTTGTTAGCTCATGCTGCATCAAGTACTTAGAACTATATTTACTCTATTAAAATAGGAATCCATCACTGCAGGTCTACTGCATACATTAAGAGATTTTAAAGACATTTCAAAGGAAAAAAACTGCATGCCTAATGAGAAACATGCTTTGGCATTCATATATACTCCTGCTAGGATTTGGGACAATTGAAGTAGACTCTTGCAAAGCACTTCCTGCCAGTGCCTAGCAAGGTGTGTTCTGGGGAACTCTAGTTCAGGTCTAATCTCTGAGGATAATACTCCTTTTCAAGAAGATAATCTGTCCCTCACACCCACACACAGCAGCAGCTGACTATAACACAGCCCTGACAGCTCTCGTGTTTGGAAACAAAAGGTTTTTCCTGCTGAGCGGGAAGCAAAATAACAGCTTCCCATGCAGCAAAGAATGAATGACTTAAGCTTGTGTTTTAATAAATTTGGGACAAACTAACCATACTCTACAGCTGTATCTTGACAATGAAAAAGCTTACTACAAAAGGCCATGTTTAGACATTTGAAAATTCTACATATACTGCAGCAAAAACAAAACTCAGCACCATCTTTTGTTTGCTGCATAAAAGAATGCAAGGGAGCACCAGACTATCACCAAACACTGCTATTATCTGTCCTTAAACAACTTTTCCTAACTTATTTTTTTATATATATATATCTCCAAATTCTCTTATTTGTTCCCAACAGATCTTACAGATAATCACTCACATGGTATTTACTACCAGCAGGATTATCAATAAAGAAAAGGAAAATGTTTTAAAAAAAATGTCATTTGAAAAAACAGAGATGCACAAGACAATAAGCATATAAGCATGGAAGAGTTAAAATAGAACAAAGGGTGATCATGTTTTTTTACCTTATTGCATTTACTGCAAAGCAAAATTTCAGCATAAAATTAAATTGAACCTATAATTTGCATAATTAGCTATTATCTTAAAAACAAAAGTCAAAGTCATTCAAATTTAAATTTGACAAGTAATGCCAATTTACATCATCAAACAGGTCTTGAAGAATATGTCTGATACCGGGAACATACAAGCCAATGATAATACCCTGTACACTTCTATTTATTTTAAGTGGAGCATTTGCATAATGTACTTTATAAATATAAATGCTGTCTCTAATTGTGGATGGAAACAAATGGCTGGCTTACTTTACAAAGTAAACAGTGTCTAAAACTAACACTTTTCACTATGTGGCTTAAATGTAGTAACAAAGCCAGACTACTATAAAACAATAAGACAGCAAAGGTACACTATATGGCACTGCAATCAGCACAA